AAAAAAAATTGGACGAAAGATTGAATGTTGGTGTAGTTGGCTGGTGAGAAAAATGGGAGAGAAGAAGGTGAAAGTGGGGTGATAGCGTGTATAGTTGGATATGTGTGGGGGAAGGGTGGTGGAATTGACTAATGGGAGGTTATGAGTATAACATTAAATAAGGAAGTGTAATCAATGTAAAATCCCTATAATTGTGTAAGAGATAATTATGGGGTATTCTTTATTTAAATAATTTAATAATAATATAAAATTATAAAAAAATACTTATTTAATAAAGTAAAATTTAATTAATTTATAAATAATTAGTGATATGTTATAACCCGTAATTAAACTGTTATAAGCAAGAATTTTTTAAAAGTAGATTTAAAACCTGTAATAATGACTCTTAAATGTGTATATGGGGTGATTTTTCCAATATATTTCTACATGGTTAACCGCTTTTTTCTATATTTATACACATTAATTTTCTACGTATTACAAAATTGTGTTTCTATCTATGTTGTTCAAATTCTTCAAAATTATCACTAATATTACTGAGAGTGTATCAAATCTTCCAAAATAGAACATCTGTCACGATACGAACAACCTAAATTTCATTTCAATATGACTTCTTGAGATACTTGAAAGTTGATCCATCAAAGCAATCCACTCTATCTTTGTAAAGATTCATCAATTTCAACAATTCAGTAGCTTTTTCCTTGGTTTTTTCACCACATCCCACTTGTAAAACCACCAATAATTTCTGAAATACACCTAATTCCAATGCCTCAATTACTGAATTATTCTCATTACTTCCACTTTTGCAAAGTTTCCATAAAATTGAAATTGAACATTCTGTGGCCATTTCTGTAACTCTCATTATTTTTTTGGCTATTATTGCCATAGTCAATCCATGTTCATAAGCCTTTTGTTTCCCTTCTTCAAAATTGCAAAATATGTCCAAAATAGCCAATCCCTTCTCTATTATACTCTTTTCACAATCCACAAGCATTTCAAGAACCAAACAAACTAACCCCATGTTTACAAATTTGGACACAATTTTCTTGTTATTTTCACTTGATGTATATGAGATAATAGAGTAAATTACCGTTAACGACGCTTTCGTCGTGGAGGGGCAAATCGGTACTTTCACCATTTGATACAAAGATTCAACCAAATCTTCGATATCTATTAAGACATTTGTGCAACTTTGGTCATAATAGAGCAATTCTTTCATCACTATAACTGCATTTTGTCTTGCTGATAAATCTTCACCTCTCAAGAACCGTGCCATGCAACGTAAAGACGTCGATGACACGAGTTTCAATATCCCCTCTTGTCCAATAGGAAACATCCACGTCATCCCAGATAGCAAGTCCTTCAAGAGTTCCTCCTGAATTCCCATAGAGAAAATCTCGAAACATGTTGCAAAAACATAACCTACCCCACATTCCACTATGCATTTCTTGTTTCTCTCACTCTCCTTAGCTAAAATCCTGACTCGTCCCACTAACTCCCTACATTTCTTCTCGTTTCCTCGTTGAGCTTCAATCATTAGCCTCGAGCAAATCTCCGTTACTTGAGACGAATCGATTGGAATTCTAGGAGTTGGAACTCTTTCAATGCCATAATTTTTGTTTTCCACACACCAATCTTGAATCATTTTCCTTATGGTATGGTTTGGTATGATATCGAAATTTCTCAAGGGTTGATTCGTCACGGGGCACGTTGAATTCCGTGCCTCGATCCATTTTTCGATGTTTTCACGATCATATGAAATTCCAGTACATAATGTGACTGGATCTTTCATTAAATCAAGAGAAATTGGACAAAGAAAATGAGATGGAATTGTAAGTTCTTTACAAGAGTTCAATTTCATAGCCTTATTTTTACGTCTCCACGAAAAAATCATCGTGACTATAAACTTGTAACGAAAAATATGAATAAAAAAAACTTATTTGAGAGAATTATAAGTTTCTTTTTTTTTTTTGGTACAAATTTTTGATGTGTTTTTTTTTACTACTTCTTGTTATGAAGGGCTATATATATATATATATATATATGGGAAAAAGGAATTTGTTTATTTTTGGTAAAAGAAACAGTCAAAATTGATTAGAAGAAGGTTTTATTTTGAACGTTGAACGTTGAATATTTGAAGAAGCAAATTAAATGTATATTTATGTTCACAGCTAACATATTTAGAAATTGTTTTTTTTTTTGAATATTTATTTTTAATAAAATGGGAAAAATTGTATAAAGACGGCAAAATGGGTTGACCCGATGACCAAGTCGTTAGTCAATACAAGTCGGTGGGTCGTGTCTGACCTGTCAAAGGCTGGAATTTTTTTAATTTTTTTTTCGTATTTCAAACAAGGACGGGATATTAATTAATTCCTTCTTTTTTTTCTTTTTATTAGTGACTTTTTATTTGGCACAATACATAAATATGTTATTTTAGTTTATTCAAAAAAGAATGACGTATTTCTATATTTAGTAACAATTTAACTTTAAAATGCTCATTTACTCTTAATTAAAATGATTTATAGTCACACAAACATTTATTAACTATTTAAATCTATAAGTTTCAAAAGTCTTTCTTTCTTAAACTTTGTGTCAAATCAAACTAACACTTATAAATTTGGATAGGGGAGTATTTAATTTGCTCTAACTGGCTTCAATTTTGAATGTATACAAATAAACATTTAAACTTTACGGACGTCGTGTTGTGTAGGATGTCACATCGGATGTAAACTGTCACGTAAGATGTCAAGTAGGATGTGTGTGTCTGTCTACTTGTTTAACTTTATACAAATTTAAATATCTAGTTGTGTATATTCAAACTTAGAGAACATAGATATAATTAAGATCGAGTTAAAAAAAACACGTTCATATACTATTAGTTAATCTCTTTTAATTTTGGGCAAACTACATAAATCCCACTAGTTTAGGCCTTAATTACTAAGATTCCCAATAGTTTCAAATATTACTTCATCTACCATATTTTTGTTGCTTAGGATACATGAGTCTGAATATGCGAGATACATGTATCCGTCGAATTTTAAAACCGAGATACATATTTTATTTGTTTAAATTAATTAGTTGTAATTGATTTCCATTAATTAGAGGAGTATCATTACTCGGGAGATACATGTATCCATCAGTTTTAAAAGTCGAGATACACGATTTATTACTTTGAAATAAAAGGGTGTAACTAATTTCCTTAATTAAAGAATTAATTGATGAATAATTAACAATCCAAACAGATTTACATAATCTTTGCATATTGACTCTAACAAGTTTTCTAAAATAAAGAAATCATAAACCATAATAATTTTGTAATTGTAAACTTCATCTTCTTCATCAATTCCTTCCTTTGTATCTTAAAGTTTCGAATATTTTGGCCTTGAGATACATGTATCATTACTCGCGAGATACATGTATCCATCGGTTTTACAAGTCGAGATACACGATTTATTACTTTGAATTAAAAGGGTGTAACTAATTTCCTTAATTAAAGAATTAATTGATGAATAATTAACAATCCAAACAGATTTACATAATCTTTGCATATTGACTCTAACAAGTTTTCTAAAATAAAGAAATCATAAACCATAATAATTTTGTAATTGTAAACTTCATCTTCTTCATCAATTCCTTCCTTTGTATTTTAAAGTTTCGACTTGAACGTTGGCGGATGAAGACCCTGCAATGACAAAACCCTAATTTGTAAAAGTTTATAAAATTAAATTTTATACCAATATGAACTCGATCTCAGATACATAAACGAGATGTAAACCAAGATACATAAGAATAATGAAAAAAAATAAAAAAATACCTCATTGATACAACGTTGTGTTGAAGAAACCTTGAACTTCTTCTGGATGATATTGGTCATCTGAAAGAAGCTAATTAAGAACTAACTTGAAGAAAAGATGTATAAGCATGACGATATATGGATATGTTTTTGTATAATGCTAATTATCAAGATTTAGTTTTGAATTTGGAACATGCAAACATGTATAGAGAGGATTAAGGAAGAGATAGAGATGGAGTGGAAGTGTGTGAAGTACGTGGGGGGTTAGGGTAATGAGTAAATAAATTGAATTGGTGATGTATCATTAATATGAGTTTAAATTTTAAGATAATTATTCAATACCATATTTAAGGGATTTGTGTATCTAATTAAATCTTTTAATATATATGGTATAAATATTAAATGTGGTATTATATGTAATTTTTTAAAACTAGAAATAAAATAAGTATATATGATAGTGAAGTATGTCTAGTTAGGTAGTTTTTCCTTTAATTTTTGTGTTGAATGAAATTGAGATTGGTCTCTCGTTAGATCACAATTGGAGAAATTCAAGTCTTGCTTGGAGTTGAAAGTGTCCTTTTTAAAGTAGAAAAAAAAAATAGGAGCTTATTTTTAAAAGAATTGAAGTATTAATCAAGTTTTTAGGAGGGAAAATGTTTTTGAACCGTGATGGACGTTGTTATTTAATTGAAAAAGTAAACAACTTTTTTAGAACTTTTGAAATATTGTTAATTACAAATTATTCTTCTAAAATTAATGAAATTATTTTTCAGATTAATTAGCTAAATAAGAATTGCTATTTTCAAAGAAGACTTTTAGATTTTGATAGCTTGGGCAAACGGGTCATTAGTTCAACTTGTTTGACACGATTATTGTTGAAGCCACAAATAAATTATACTTATGGTACTCTTGATGTAATATTTTAATGTATAGAGGTTATTTTATGAAATCAATCTAACGAGATATGAAAATCGATATTAGCATATTACATCATCTAATTATTATTTTTATTTTTATTTTTGTGATAAAGTAGTGTATAACCAAACACACGTCTTCAATAAAATAAAATGTTCTTTGTCCATTTTATATAGGGAAAAAAATCTTTAAATTATTTGGAGGATAATATTACCTCAAATATAAGGTAGTAGTGCAAACTTTTAACATAATACCTAGCTAATTAAATGAATTAATAATTAATAATTCATTAAATTCCAAAACTCACAAATAAATTAAAGGAGTAGAAAATGTACTTTTCAATTAATTGAAGATTAGATATTCTTAGAGAAATTAGGGGTGTTCATAGTTCGATTTAGATTAATTTTTCTTATAACTAAAATTAAATCAATTTGGTCGTTTTAAATTTCTAAAAGCAAACCAAATTAATTAAAATAAAAATCACCGGTTTAATTCGATTTTTCAATTGATAACTAGCTAATGATAATTTGATAATGGCAAACTAACGAATACACGAGACAAGTATTTCACATGAACATTATGAATCAACAAGTTTTCATCTACTATCACAAAATGAATTAATGTATCTGAATTTTCAATTATTTTAAAACTTTAGCATGTTTAAGTTGCATAAGGATAGAGATAATATACAGAAATAATATTCAACTTTAAATAGAATGATCAGTCCTTCAAAAATCAAAGGGCGCAAACCATTGAAGATTAGAAGGATATGTTAACAAAATAAATAACTTCATCGGAATGAGCGAAAAAAAGAAAGTCAAACTTTTTTTATTTCGAGATCAGAAAAAAATTGATCGATCAGGATCAAAGATGATTGTCTAGTGGCGATGAGTTATCATACCCAATTGAGGGTTAATTTTGATGTTTGGAAACTTCCATAACAATCAGCTGGAATTTATGTGGCGTTCAAAAGGGAAGGTGTATTAACCATTATATTTTGATTGATCTATTTTTTTTCCTATATTTATCGCACGCTCAGTAAATTCATTAGCAATGGATTAATATAACATAATGGCAAGAAAGAGTTGCTCAAATGATAAGTACTTTTATTTTTAGTTTTAAAATTATGAGTTTGAATACTGAAAAAGCTAAAAAGGTAAAAGTGAGTCGGATGAATTCATGTATATTGATATTTCAATTTTTCTTTTTCTTTTAGGGAGAAGCTAATAAAATCCTAGCAGGCCAAATGTAAACATCTCTTTTTTGGGTTTTTTCTCTTAAATTATTTTCTGAATTTATTAACATCTCTTTCTAATTATTATTTTTTGAAAAATTGTATAAAATAGCAAACTATTAATTCAAATTAAATGTTATAACCATAGTTTGATTTAATTGTAATCCGTAGCAAACAATTGTCATTCGCCTCTCTCCCTAGGTTTCCCGCTCGCCACTCTCGCCAGTCTCTCCCGCCTCTCTCGCTTTTTATACAAACACAAATGTATAAAATGCATTTGTGTTTGTATAAAGCGAGGGAAAATTGTATATACAAATACATATATTTTTGTCATATACACTTATAATTATACAAATACAAATCTTTAAATTTTCCTGCCCAGTTCTCTTTTGTCTTTCTCTCTTTCTCGCTTTATACAAACACAGATTATACAAATTACAATGTATAATTTGTGTTGTATAAAGAGAGAGAGAGAGATTTGATATACAAATGTTTTATTTCGATTCAATTGTATACAAATTCAAATTTTATGCAGATATACAAACACATAAAATTGAATTGAGAGGTTACCATCGATTTATACAAACGAGAGGCTGTCAGCGATCTATACAATTGGCCTGCCAGCGAAATTATACAAATCTGAAGCTCCCGCCAGCGAGTTATACAATCTGATGCTTCAAGCACAATTATACAAACTATA